CGATCCCGCTGGTCCGTCTCGCCTTCCAGGCTGGAGTCCACGTGTCCCGCCTTGTGCTTCGCTGACATGACAAGACATAGCTCGCAGTCGACACCTGGTGTGTCTGCTGTTGTCGCCTAGTCGGATTGCCTGTTTAAAGTGTTCGGTGCTGTTTGATCTGCGGGGTAATGGCTGATTATGACACGGGGCAGTAAAAACCACAAGGAAGCTGTCTCGCCGATGCCTCTTTCTCTGTGTGATGTGTCGCCGCGAAACTGCTGCACGATAGCCAGCTGTTTTTGACGATATGTTGTTGACAGGTTGTATGCGCCTTGATGCTGAACGTTTGCTTAAGGCATTAAGGCTTAACGCTAGGTTTCCATTCTATCCCTCGTTTTATTCTTCCTTATGTCGGTCCCCATGGTTTCACGGCAGCAAAGCATCAGTTCACAAGGCTGGTGTACTCTTCTTGATAATGGTGATAATGAAAATTCCCCCTACGACCACGGATCTTCTTACAGTATGTCCTCTATTTCCGCCACTTGTCTTCGAAGCGATATTCCCTGGTCCACGTAAGTCGTTAGTTGTGCTGTGCCTCTCAGCCAATTTCGTTTATGTTTCCATTCTTCCGTTATGAATGACCCCGGTGTCCGGACCTTTAGATTCCAGGCAAGCACCAGTACCGCTATATCATGGAGCCGCGAGCAACGCTGCTAACAACTTATAAGAACTCCACTTTGATCGCGATTTACTTCGAATCGAACTTTGCTCAGTTCAATCAATGAGACATTTGGCCTGTTTTGATATGATCCAGCGAGTCAAGGTCGTCTTGGTTCATTTCAATGTGGACGCCGGCTCAACATGCGATTGCGCGTCGCATTCCATTTTTCGACCGGCACTCTGAAAACCACTCATGGTCATTTTTTGTCGACTGGCGGCTACTTATCACTTTTCAGACGATATTCCGTTGTTGCTGAACAGCAATCCACTGATCATACTATTACAACCTTCCACAAAACTCGTTGTTGTACATGAGCGGAGCATAATTATGCGGATAATCCCTCTGGCTTGTAATCCACTGGTCTGCCTAACTGACCGTCGTGTGGTATTGAAGCGACGTACCGCCCTACTACTAGGTGGTAGGTGGTGCGCCTAATCTCCACAGTGAGATTGCATTTGAGCTGCACGACAGCGTTCTAATTGTGTTTCCGCTTTTCCACATGCATCACGGCAACTTCATTCTCCCCAAGAGCTATGCCTAGACTACAGTACGCAGGAGACTGCTTGTCGCTACTAGTAGTGACATTGAGGCAGAGTCTCCGTGATCATGCTAATCTTAGACATTTTCCCTGTTGAAATGGGCTGAGTTTTGGCCACCTCATTTTATGTACCCGGTGTGCACTCCTTCTGCTATTTAGCTGGTTTATGAGTGTCTGATGCGAATCTATTTACTGCAAATCCATCTACTTGCGTGTATGATAGTCTTTCAGGGATCGGCGCCCCGAAGGATTACGTGCTTGCCTAGTAATCCGTAGGTCACCGTTTCGAACCCACGTAGATGCGAGGAACTTTGCGGTATATCCAGTCCGCATGCAAACGGTGGTGGTCGCGTAGAAACCAAGCGTCGGTGCAGCGTGCCGGCGTACTGCTGATGCCTTTCCTACTCTATACATTCTTTCACGGCTTGTGAATCACTTGCGAGGTGTACATGAGCCACATCTACCTTTTACTTTGCTTTTACACCGGGGCTGGAATATACCTGTATGGGCATACAAAGAGTAGCACATGTCCCTTTTCTCTCTCTCTCGCCTTACTTGGTGACGATCCACCGGGTATGCAACTCATTCTGGATCGTTTTGCGGTTGAAGCACTTAAGTATGGTATGAGTTTCGCCCCATCGAAGTGTAAAGTACTGCTCAAGGATTGGTTTTCACCTGCTCCCGTGCTCACTCTCGAAGGTGCACAACTTGAACAGGTAGATAGTTTCGCCTACCTTGGGAGCTGTGTTTCTGCTGACGGCACTACCAACAAAGATGTTTCTCTTACCATCGCTAAAGCTCGATCAGCATCTGTCAATCTGAGTCACTTGTGTCGTCGTCGCGACGTCTCATTCTCACTAAAGGGCCGCGTTTACAGCGCATCAGTTCGCTCAGTGTTGTTGTATGGGAGCGAGTCCTGGCCGATTCGCGTGGAAGACATGCGTCCTCTTTCTGTCTTCGATAACGGTTGCTTAAGGAGGATCGCTCGTGTTTGGTGACAACATCGAGTTAATAGTAATGACGTTCAACGTCGCACCTTGGGGAATGCGAGTATTCCCTTCAACAAACTGGTTTTGTTGCGCCAGTTAAGATGGCTCGGTCATGTCATACGCGTGGCGCCTGAGCGTCTACCGCGTCGCGCTCTATTCGCTCGTCAAGGACCTGGCTGGAGGCGACCGCTTGGTGGTCTGCCTTCTACCTGACGGCAGCACATGAAATCGCTGACGTCGTGTCTAGCTGCTGTTGAGTCCGTTCATCTTCCAGGATGGGGACCCAAAGATGAGGAGCGCCAATGGCTTAACACTCTTGAAGACATGTCCCGCAACCGGAATCGGTGGACGAATTGTGTACAGTATTATATTAATTCACATGTTTAATACCACAAACATTGAAAATGACAAAACAAGAGCAAAGTCGGCGTATGAAAAACAAACTGTAAGTCTTTTGTCCTACTTTTTGTCAAAATGTTCCATTCTTCCTGCGGCATAGCTGAAGTGTGTTGCTCACCTTCAACTAGCATGCCACGATGATTATGACGCGATGACTCTTCCTTATCCGCTGATCCCCATGGTTTTCTGTTGGCTCTTTGTCTAGTTGATAGACTGCTGAGATTACATACATACATACTTTCCTAGGCACAAGCACTTGGCGGTCGCTGATTGTTAAAATGACTTGTGAATCCGGAAACTGCTTTCATTAGCCCACGTAAGACTGACTTTGTCTCGCTGTCAGTAGTTTCATTAGCTCGTATTCCCATTTGCAGCATTCTCGCTTACAACTGGGCGTTCGCCCTGGTTCTCAACCATTTCCTTAGCTCATAACTGCATATCGCGATACGCGTCAGCAAATAAAATGATTTGTATGTCATCCAAACTAACATGTATTTTCGTTATACTCGAAACTACATACTATTCTTAAGATCGGACACCAATGGGTTTGACAACAAACACGATGAAAACATCTACTTATTGATGCATTACTTTCAACAACCAACATCTTCCATGATGCAGAACTCCATCGGGCCGTCTAGCTCATATTGGGTGTGTGTGAAGAAAGACATCATCGGTACGCAGTACCGACGCTTCGCTGCCGCGCAACCACCACTGGTCGCACTTGTACTAAGGATACTGCGAGGGTCGCCCTGCCCCTACACAGGCTGGAACGCGCGCCGTCAGATTACAAGACAACCTTGTTACCTTTAGGCTACCGGCCGGCTAATTGGATGTGTGAACCAATTTATAACAGCTATCCTTACGTCACTGTCAGTTTCTTCACGGATAAGTCCCATCACTATCTTCGCTCTTTAAATGCAGACCGAATGGTGCTCAATTTCCGTGGCCATTTTAATAAATACATAAACAAAAAGTTGATTGAGGGTTCGTAGCAGCCAGTTCCAAATCAGCTAGTTGTCTACATGCCAGGAAAAGCACTAGACTGCAGTTTCTGCCAGTTGGGCCTCATTGGAAGTGCGCATCCATCGGGTCCATCATGGTTCGAACAAATGACCACCAGCGGCTTGCACCGCCAGTCAGCAGCTTACACCACTGAGCCACGGGGGACAGCTTCGGACCGTCATGGTTTGCAAGCGAAGTGGCATATAGCGCGTCTTATCCTCCACTGCCATGCAACTTACGAACGTTGCAGAGGACAGAGTTGGCCCCGAAAGACACGACGTCCACTAACAATAGCTATGTACGACATAGCATTTAGAAACCGTTAGGGACCAACCCTGTCCTATGCAACGTTCGTAACTTGCATGACAGTGGAGGATAAGACAAGCTGTATGGCAGTTCGCTTGCAAATCATGACGGTCCGAAGCTGCCCCCATGACCCAGTGGTGTAAGCTGCTGACTGGCGGTGCAAGCCGCTGGTGATCATTTGTTCAAATCCTGATGGGTCCGATGAATGCGCACTTCCGATGAGGTCCAACTGGCAGAAACTGCAGTCTGGTGCTTTTCCGAGCTTGTGAACGACCATCGAATTTGGAACTGGTTGCGACGCATCCTCATGCAATTTCATCGAAAATCCCCTACGCATGACTAACTAAGTAAATGTTTCATTCTCGCTCCTTTGTTCTTGCAAAGCTTATGACGCTCAACTTTCGACACTCGTATTCATTCCACCATTGACTCATTCGCACTTCTATTATCCGCTGCCTCGAAATGTCCGCTGTGCTCGCGTTCCCTTTTTACTGATCATTCTTATCCTTATGAACCCAGTGGAATCCTCAGGACACAACTTGATTCCATGTACAGTTTGTGGACTACACTCTGATTATGCTGCTTGCGTGTTTTCCCCACTCACTTTCCAGTAGTCATCGTCTGCTTCGTTTCAGCTGTTGCATCAACTTCGCTTTTCATTGTGAATTTGCTTTTTCTTCCCACTTTGAAGCGCTGTAGTCGGTTACGAATATGTTTCGGATAAACGATCATCAACAGTGTACCGGCACTTCGTATTTACACTTCGATGCCACGCGATCACCGCATCGCGCCCTGGCTAGGCATATTTCGAGGCCACTCATATTCGAACGGGTGACTTTTGGCTTACAAAGCAGACGCTTATCCTACTTGTCCATCGGCCGACTTGGTTCGTATGAGCCAACGCATATGCCTTTAAACTTGAGCCGTTCTTCACAATCATCTCGCTAATTCCGGTACAGTGCCGGTGTATCTTGCCACACAAGGGACACAGTCGATCGATTTCCGTGGACGGCAAAACCATAGGTATTACACAACTGTAACAAGTTTGTATTTTTTTCTTCAGGTTCTTCTGGTGACGCTACCGCCAACATAGCGGACGGGAGGATCAGGCGACGTATTGAACCCATCTATCCAGCGGATGACTCACAACCACCTGCCGCGTTTCCTCCCAGTTCCACTATTCACGCTACAATTGTCCCACTCAGAGTCTCTGATAGGTTTCCAGTCAACGGTCGCACGTCATTAGATGGATCCAATGTGGTCATCTCCTTTCTTACCAGAGTTCGAGGTGAGTCGGCATTGTTTCCCCACATGTAAACGTGTTAACCCTTTGTTTTGTGAATCGGTTCATCCATCCGTGTAACTCGGCCTCCTATCGCTAGGCTGATCACCTAATCCCTTTTGCTTGTTGCTTCGTTTCCTTCTTTGCTTGATTAGTCTTCCCAGCTTCACCTTGGCAGCTGGCAGGACTCAGTCGCTTTAGTGCCTACGGGCACTCAGGCCACCTTTTGATGCATTTGTACTGGCTGTGCGAATTCCGGCAAAATCTTTCTTCTCGAACGTGTCCCACGACCAGTTCACCTTGGTTCCCAACTTCTACTTGGACATCGCCTCGCTTTATCGTGGCCATGAAAGTTGAAGAGCTCCAGTTTCGTTTAACCTAATTGACCTTTTTGTCTCGTGCAGCTTAGTGTGGTGGACCTGGTTGCTCTTACTCACTTTTGCTAACTAATACCAGCATTGATGATGATGATGGCAATAACTTACTAGGAATAGGGAAAATGGTTGATGTCATCATAGATAGTTGTCAAAAGTCCGAGGTATAAGTGCCACTGGCTTTGCGCTTGTGCATAGTCCCATGGGACATATCTAGCCACTGATTTGATTGATCCTATGGTCCCCATACAACCATTCATTAGGTTTTCCATTCTCTATCACGGTCATTGACTGTCCACTTCAGGGTTTCAACCAACAGTTTCTGCATTTGTAAGCAATACAAGCAGAGTTAATCGGCTCTCTGGTATATGGTTGGCGGATTTGCCTGTCACTGCGGTGTCCATGGGACTGCTACAGGCCGCCGGTGCCTACAGAGGGACCATGGGTGGCTCATGCTACACCACCTAAGGCTCCATTCACACACCCCATGTTCAGTGTAAAACCGAAGTAATTAGACCGAGAGGCATGTGGGTGGGAGCTACGTTTCATCAACGGAGCCGACCCACATGCACAGCGGCAGCATTCCTTTCTATCTAATTTGGGTATTCTGTCTACCAGATGTACACAAGGATGTGGCTTGGCCGTGGCACGTTCCATACTGGATGGATGATTCTAACACGGTCGGTCACGAGGACTATGCACCCTCTCTTCTCAAACATCGATCAGCTTTCTCCTGGACCCTTTATATTCGAGGTGGCGCTTTTTCGACAGGTAGGCACTTCGTCAACATTCACGCTAGCACGCAGTTTTGCCCTGCGATTTTTACGAGTCTCATTGTGTACGCTTCCTGCCGGAACACGTCGGCGAACATCCATAAGTTCCAAAGACTGTGTAGAGGCCCAATGTCCAGTTTGGCAATTTGATTTGCCACATGAAGACATGCCTGTTGATAGTAGCGTTTGGCGGATATGCATCCAGTGATCTTCGATGGTGTTCAGTGGGCGCTTACTCAGCCCGGATGTCAGCGCACTTTGATACACATTCAGAACACCAGACTTCGCCAGCTGACTGGTGTCAATTCCTTCACATCGACGTTGCGGACGTCCATCGGAACGCATCTGAAGGTCGGTGCAAACAAGTGTGTGGTCAGAGTTCTGCGCTGCTGCTCCAAATCGAGCGACAGTTTTGGACACAGCCTCTCCAGCGGTAACTAATCGCGCTGTGATCGATTTGCGTCCATGGCTGGTGCAAGACTGGTAGGCGCCAAGTCACTTTTCTGCGGGTGCTGTGTCGAAAGTTAGTGCTGGCGAGAAAGAGACGAGCATCTTCACACAGCTGTAGCAATCACTCACCGTTATCATTACGAGAGTCAACACCATGTTGGCCACCTAGATGAAGCTCATCAGAGGACAATTTTCCGACTTGGGTGTTTAGAGCACCAGCAAGCACCACAGTATCCGTGCTTCTTTTGTAACGAAAGAGATCGTGAAGTTGCTGATAGAAGTCAGCTTTCACCGAATCAGTGCTACAGTTTGTAGAGGCGTAGGCCGCAATGACAAACGGTCACCGTTTGTTCCCGCGCGTCTTCGTAGCATGGAACGAACCAGCTAATTTAACGGCGGACATCCGACTGTTGACTGGGATCCAGTCGATCAGGGCGGCTTCAGCATGGGGACTCAAAACAATGCCGACGCCAGCTTGACCTGCATTTGAAGCTGCATCATCGCCAGACAGGCGCAATGAGAATGTGTCGCCAGTGGCGCATGTGGGGGATCGCAGGGTAAGCACGGAGCTCGGAGCTTGCAGGCGGGTTTTTGATAAACAACACATATCGATCGATAGGGCCTCTTGTGTTCGGGCAAGTGCTGTCTCTTGGCCAATCTATAGCAAAGTGAGCACGCTGAGGCATGCCAGTCTTAGCGAGACGCGAGGATTCCATAGGGAAACGGATGAATTGTCGTTATCCGTTTGGTTGAACACGTTTCCTCACCTCCAACGTTTCCTCTCTACTTGACTAGCTTACCGCTTTTATACTTTTTTCTGTGACAGCTCTTCCCTGCATATAATCCGTTCCGCTCCCTTAAACCATTTACGGAATTACTGGACACTTCTCCCGTCCACAGCGCATGTTGGGATAGGGTGCACTGTAATATCTTGCTCGTGTAAGCTTACATATTCATACACACGGAACTGTATTTGATCATCTTTATGCGATTACCATCTCCCTTTGTCACCATAATCAAATATGCCAATCCAGTCCATCTCGCCTAATGTGACTTGATAAATCTAATCCGGACCTATTGTGCTTCCATGCCTAATTTATGCGGCTCACAAGGTTGTTTTCGATCACGCGTTTCTCTGCAACCAAGCGTGCCGGACCACTTATTCACTGTCACATTTATCTATCATTTGGACCGCTGTCTGCTTTGTTGTTTTTGTCACAAAATGTGTATGTGTGACATATAATCGTGAAACCATTTGTTATATGCAGTAGTTTCGGCGTTGCTTATTCCCAATACCGCACTCCACGACACGTTTCGGCTTCACTTGGGCTCAGTATATAAAGATAGCTGTAGTTGGGATTGGAACCCGAAACTGAATCCGATGCTCTTAACTTGGCCAACCGTGTAACTTTCACTAGAACAGTCTGCATGGCGTGTGTCTAGGGACTGACTGTTCTTTTAGCCGTCCGTTTATCAGCAGCTGCATACTCCTTCTACCTGTGTATTGTCCGATTCCTCTTGCTCGGTATACAAACCTGGGATCGGTGCTCCTTACAGACAATTCTTACCAAGCTGACTCATGGGTATGCCTCTGATGTCATTCCACAACTCTAAGCACTAGGAAACTTTCAGCTTGCACCATTATCCGCGATCGTTCGTTTCGGATTAGTTTGTTTGTTCCTTGCAGTTCGATCTCCTGCTTGTACAATCTTCTGCACCATCTGTACACCTTTCACATTATATCCGATTAGGTAGTGACTGCTTGACTTTGTATCGCTTTCCCACTGCTTTTATCATCTCTAGTAGTGTTCTGATCCAGAAGCGGGCTTAACGACGCGACATATTTTACCAAATCTAACCGCTGTTCTCTATGTACTTGGACTTTGCGAACGATGTGTGTGTCACAATGGTCCAGTCAAACACATCTCATTTTCTTACACCTGTCACTCACCATCAGACCAATGCACTCTGTCTATGAAGGATTGGACTTGGGATTAGGAATCTCGCGAGCCCCTATTTGAACTTGGTGACTGCTACAGCCCGTTATTATTCACCAGCTGAGGCTGTAGTTGTATGTCGCTTTTTTATTCTTGCAAATTTGTTATTGCACGTGAGGCACGGATACCTTTCGTCATTCCACCTATGCATAAAGTGGTTAGGCATTGTTTCGAACGCATACGCAAACTTCCTTTGGTATGCCAGCTTCAGCATGTCCAATATATCTTGCCATGTGATTGAGGCTTTACCTACGGTGTATGTTAATTATCATGCTCTCTTCGCCTTTCTCTGGATCTTGAACGATATGTTGTGCAGTACATGAGGCTCAAGTAACAGAAGCTGCTGTCACCGTCTCCCGGAATCACAACTATATTAGCCTACGTTTGTGGAAACCTGGTTACTCACCACGCAACTTCCGAACAAATTGGGAACAACTTGTAGTTGTATCAATCCATCAACCTACTCCTTCTTTTGGAACTTCACCTTCAGAGGTCAACTTCTCATTCTCTGGCTGACTAACTACACTTATGCTCTATTGATCAGTCTTTTCTCTTCGGCTTGTTTGACAACTACACCGCCGGCGGCTACAAATCTACCTCTGTCCGATCCGTCGAAGGCCCCAAGACGTGCTGTTTAAATGTTGGTTGGAGTAATGCTCCAGAAAAAACCGACCAGCTACAGTTGAATGCTAGGATTTTTGGCAGTTGAACTGTTCGCTGAGCTTTGCAATTTGGTTGCAAACGTTTCATCACCAATCGAGGTGACATCATCAGGGTGTAATTGAGTTGCGTGCAGTAGCGTAGAGGAGCCTCGGTGAGAATGCGCTGAGCGTGGTTTGCGTGCGTTTTTATACCGCCCGTGGAAGCGAGCAATCCTATTGGTTGAGATTTCGATCCGCCTTCAGCCTGGTTGATGGGCAGACGACCTTTGACCTTGACTCCTTATGTTTCGTGGCCTTTGTCTGCCTGCGCTTGTGAGCGAGTCTGCCCTCAGTTCTGGTTGGCTAGTCACACGTTCCACCGGATTCAATCGATTGTGTTGGCGATCGTTCGCCAGTGGTGTTGCGTAACACTAGGATCTTTCATCTTTGGCTCACAGAAGTCGCTTAGTCCCATCATCAAATGCATTGTCCGTTGGTCTTTCACCTATTGTAGGCTTTACTCGTGTCACAGATAGCAAACTGCCACTGTGTTCATGCCCTTCCCCGCAAGTTTTTACAAGTGTTTCCACATGGGAAAGAAGTTCGATCAATTGCGCTACCACCATACTATCGCCCGTTTCCACCTTAACACCACTTTATTTCTTGTAACAGTGGCCTCCGCTTTTGTCCTTGACTTCACACACTCTCTTCCCAACCTTCCCCGTCCAGTCGATTTTCAATACGCGGCTGACCACCATCAATACTGACAAC